AAAACGAACAAATGAAATTTAATGGTTTTGGACAGGAGACCCGCCATCGAAAGGCTCATTTTTTCCGAAAGAAGGAAAGTGACAGTCGGGAAATTTTTTATTTCGTGATCCCTGATGATACTAGTATATAGTCCGATTAAAGGAAAAAATTTCCAAGCGAGTTTATTTTGTTGACTTTTTTTAGTCAAACCGTACAATACCAGCGCAATCAGCCCAACTATGGGTAAGAATTGAAAAGAAAGCAGAATTTTGCATAAATTGGAGAACGGTTTGATAATTATGTCAAAATTTGTGACTAATTAGAGAACGGAATAAAAATACTCTAAAAGAGAACGGGCTGCATTTTTGAAAATAAATAACAGAAAGAACACAGTGTTTTCCAACAAAAAGAACGCAATAGAATTTGAAATAATAGGCAAAGAGAACAGATTAGTTAATTGGTTAGTAAAGAGGCCATCAGCTTATCAATATACGGGAAAAATCGCCTGTGTTAACAATGTTCTCGTGCTTATAACATTTTCGTGGTATCATTCAATTTGAAATACGGTACAATGGCGTATCGATCTCTGTTAGAGTATCCAGTGGTACCTCTGAGCGTTCTGTCCACCAACCACGCACATCAATCAATAGAAATACTGAGTAATCCTCTAGAGTTAATCCCGCATTGAATATCATGTACATAATTAAATAATAGCGATTTAATTCCAGTATACCCCAACGCGGCTAATGATACATTTTTAAATACTCTATCATCATAATCAAAGACTTTCCCCGTTTGATGCTTGATCAGTCTTCGAATATGCTGTTTTTCGATGATTAATTCATCATTTTTACTCTTAATTTCACCATAGGAACATGCAACAGCAAATGATAATGTACGTGTCAGAAAGAGACATATAATAAATAATATAGAACGTATAAGATAATGATTCCAAATTTGATCAATTGTAATATGAGAGGACGTCTTGTCTAAAAAAGTGAAATACCATACAGAATGACACGTTCATCAACAGCAAAAAAGAAAACACCTACGATTCAATGGCCCTGTTCTTGGACAAAAAGCAAGATCACCAATTATTGATTTGAAATTTTCTTGCTAAATTAAAAGGCGAAACCATCTATACACAGCAAGATACGATTTTCGATCGTCGGGTCCAAGAATCTATTAGAAATAAAAATAAGAGTTTTTTATCAAAGAAAAAATATATGAACACTTTTGTGTTACATTGATTAAAAGAGTCATAACTAGTGCTGTTTCTCGGATGAAACATTTTCTTAACAGTCAGATTATCTTCACAAACTTTTCCAGTTAAGCCATCATGTAAGTAGCACAGATTTAAATGTTTCTACACTCGCTCAACTTACCGATTGAAAAATGCTCAGTAAATCACATGCTACGCAAATGTCAGCTAAAGTAGTTTGTTCATTCACCAGAACGTTTTGCCTGCAAGATGTGTACTAATAATTCGTAAATTATGTTTTACTTCATTTATGGAAGTTTCATATATTTGTTCATTACAGGATGAACTAAACAGTAGAAAAGATCTTTTTTTTCGTACAACTGGAGAGGCTTTTATCAATAATGTAATGCAGAAAATTCAATCCATTGCAGAATTACTGCTTGACTTCTCAACGTTGTTTCACGTAATTGTTAATTAGCCATTGAAACGATAGTTGAAAATAGTCTACTTACAATAATGAGCGATAGCATTGCATTAAAATAGATAGACATGGTAACGTAAATGATAGGGAAATCATACAATGACATTAAAACAAAGAGACACATTTACTGTATTTGTTGGGAAATTGTCCATATAATCGTCGGATGAAATTATTGCGTTCATTCTATCATTATATATTAGTTGAAGTTTAAGCATTAACGTTAATTCATGCGGTTACGAGACAAGTTCTTTCTTTGTTCTTCTTGCAATATTAGATTTAGGCGCTTCTCTACAATGTCTTGACAGATTGCTGTCCTAGATACGAATATGTCATTGTTAGGAAATATTTCATCACTCTTTTTCCACTTGTTTAGAACTTGATCTTATTTCTATTATCATTTTGTGTTATTTTCCAAATTGAAAATATTGATCTTATTAATTGAGTTACTTTTACTTGTTACTACGAACACGGTACACACTAATAAGAATCAGAGTTATACTCCACCAACTAAAGCAACTAAAGTTAATAAAACAACAAAAACATTACTGTTTTGTCTTCAGTCTTTGTACTTTTGGCACTGAGTGCCCGTGACGCCAAAATAAATGTGAAACAAAGGTTCCCTCATTTCTCAGGTTAATGACGAGTAGACGTTAATTGTATGAAATATTAGTTGAAGCTTAAGTATTAACGTTAATTCATGCGGTTACGAGACAAGTTCTTTCTTTGTTCTTCTTGCAATATTAGATTTAGGCGCTCCTCTACAATGTTTTGACAGATTGCTGTCCTAGATACGAATATGTCATTGTTAGGAAATATTTCATCACTCTTTTTTCACATGTTTAGAAGTTGATCTTATTTCTACCCGCCACCGCCCCTCTGTAAGCGTCAGGTGCCCTTGTACTAACAGCTCACAAACAATCCCAATTCAGAATCTCTACAAATCAACAATTTATTACCAACTAATTACTAATACCAATAATTTTAACAGTAATGAAAGTCTGTTCTTCTTCAATTAACGAAAAACAAGTCATAATTGAAAGTAAATTTCGATTCTTTTATGATTCTTGTCAATTTTCAACTTCAAATTCAGATCTCTTCTTGTTAACTTTTAAACTTCAAGTTAACATTCCTCTCTTGTTCTTCTCACTTTTCAAATTCAAATTCACATCTCTTCTCTTCTTCCTCTCTCACATTCAGAGAAGGAGATGCTCAATTTTACATTACATCTTCTTATCTCATTCAAGTTAAATAATTTCTCTTATTTACAAAATATAATTTAGTATTTTCGTTCTAACTGTGCTTCTTATACCGCAATAATTTCCGTTTGCATATTCTCTTCCTCACTCCTTCTCTTCATCAACATTAGCAACTATTCAACAACATTCCATTATCAACATTCAATTATTACAGTTCTTCATTAATTGAAGAAGAACAGACTTTCATTACTGTTAAAATTATTGTATTAATAATTAGTAGGTAATAAATTGTTGATTTGTAGAGATGCTGAACTGGGATTGTTTTGTGAGCTGTTAGTACAAGGGCACCTGATGCTTACAATTGGAGGTCCTACCCAGATTCTGGTTATAACATTAATCTGTACAATCAGAACCACCAGCAACATCGCCCTTATTATTAGTCGACACTACCATCAGTTTATCGATTCGTTACGTCACCTCCTCTCGATTTTTATTAGTCATTTGGTAAAATCTCACTGAACACGTTTTTATCAGTCTGGTAAGAGTTTTCCAAGCTGTTAAGGAGGCTGTGGTGTGGCAGGAAACCTTTAGTCGATATTTCGCTTTCCGAATTTGACATGTCACAGGAGATACCATTGATTAGAGATAGAAGGAAGATGGAAGATAGCCCAAGTTATTCGACTGAGCGAGATGCGTCACAGCTTGAGTTAGATGCTAGAATTGCTGCAAATGGTTCACGCACGACTCACGTAGAACCACGTCCATCTGTAACAAGTATTACTTCTCGCGTTCGATCAGTCAAAATCACTACTTCTAAAGTTAGCCATCGAAGTGAGAGAAACGAAACCACCGGGATGATCGAAGTAATCAAAGAAATGAATAAAACACAGAGAGAACTGAATCGCGATAATCTGGCGATGATGTTGAAGGTTTTACAGACTCAGCAGTAGTCTACTTTTCAACCTCAGCTAACTGCAGTGTGAGTTCCAACATCCGTTCCAACAGAAGTTTCTTTACCTGCCAGTTGTCAGAATTCTAATGCTTCTTTGCACACACATTCTTCTCATTCCGATATTTTTCGACATTCCAAATCCTTACCATCGGATAAAGGAAATCCACAGAAGAACAGAGGAATTTTAGAAGAATGCCCATCGTGTCATCGCTCTAAAGAATATTTACATCTTTCTATTACAAAAAGTGATTCTAGTACGCAAACTGAGATTTTACCCCTTAATACATCTGCTAAAATCTCTGTCCAAGAATCAAAACTTGTTTCAGAACGAAAGACTAGAAAGAAGTTCCTGTTAAGTCGCAGAAACAGCACAGAAGATCATCATCTACTGATCAATCCATTTCTTCTCTTAGAACAAAAGTTGATCTTAAGTCTAAAAGAAAAAGAAAACAAAAACCTAACAAAAATCACCATCAGAAATCTTCTGCAACATCTTTATCATCTTCAAATAGTTCCTTAACAGGAACTGACGCTACGCATTCAGATAAAAGTGAATTATTAAACGTCTACAAGAAAAGTAAAACTTTGAAAAATAAGAAACATCATCGAAAACAACATGCTTCTTCTTTTTCAAGTAGCGGTGATGATAATGATTCGTATTATGGTGGGAAAGAGATAACTTCAGAATCCCGAGAAAATCAAAAAGAAAGTTTTCTAATTCTTCTTCACGATCAACTGTTCTCACTTCACCGGCAACTTTGCAAGTTACCATTAATGATTCAATTACTCGCTTCAGTGGTAGAGCGAATGAGCAGCCTAGTAAGTTCTTGCATGAGTGCTAACAGAAAATGCGAACGTTATTTCGGGCTGGTGATTCGTAATTAGTGCGGAATACTAGTGATTGGCTCACAGGTGCAGCTAGTGACTGGTATTTGCAGCTTTCCCAAGGTCATCATTTGCCGGATACGTGGCCTGAGTTTAAGAAGTTGTTCTTGTCTCGTTTTCGTTTTCCTGAAAGGATAGAGGCTTTGAAAATTGAACGTAGCCGTTGCGTTCAAAAAGAAAATAAAACAGCAGCTGATTTCTATCAAAGATATATGGGACTAAATTTGGAAATTAATCCAAAAACCAAAGAAAATTTACTGAAAAAATACTTTCTTCGAAAATTTAGACCAGAACTTGTTCTTTGGATGAAGCGTGATGCGGCAAGGATGTCCTTGGATGAGATACTCAAAAAGGTCGAAGAAGCTGAGATACAGTTATTGTATCGAAGAAAAGAAGAAATTCAGAGATCTCTGCCTAATAGATGGATTTCTACGACTTCTGATTGCGATAAAGATGAAGGAATTCCGCATGACTTAACAACATCGTTAACTCCGCAGCGGGTGCGACTGAAAACACCAGAGAGAACAGTTGTTGTTGCTAAACTTGACGCACCTTCTTTTCCATCAACAAATTTTTCTGGTCAAGAGACTCAGATAGCTGAATCTTCTGTTTTTCCAACTAATAACGATAGAAATCGACCAACTTTTTCTCAAAACCGGCAAACCAATTTTTATGAACGAAATAATAATAACAGCGGAGGTCGGAATAGTAACAATAACAGTTCTCGTTTGCCCTTTTCTTCGAATAATTCTCCCAATTTTAATCGTTCAAATCCATCAGCGGCAAATCGTAATAGAGAACCGCCGGGACCGTGTCCAATTTGTCGTAAAAATGGACATTGGAGAAATTGCAGAGTTCCTTGCACTATTTACAGAAAAACTGGACACAGTGCAAATTATTGTTTTCAACAAAGAGGCAACTCTCAGCGTAGTGCATCTGCCGCATCTACTTTTTCCGGTGGTGATTCACAAAATCGACAGAATTCTAATCATTTAAACTGAAAAGGGAGCAGCTGATTGAGGATAAGCTGGCATCCCATACTATTCACAAGTCCTCAATTGAACAGTCCAAAGTACAGGGAAAAATCGAAGCCTTGAAATCGTTATCGCGGTTTCTAAAGCCGGTCGTGATGTAGAGGAGGTTTCGCGACCTATACTCGATTTTGCATCGTTGCCATTTTCTTCTTCTTTGTTAGAGACGTCGGGGACTCCGTCACCACCTAAATCAGCGGCTTTTGAACAAAAAGTTGGGACTAGTTTAACACTTATTTATCCACAGAAAAATCATTTAACTCTAGTTCTTCTCAATTGGAGTCTTGTTCTTCTTCGTCATCTGTATCTAATGAGACGATTGTTTTGTTATCAACTCCAAAAACGACAATATCTGATCAAAATTATAATTTATCAGATAATTTCAATCGTAAAAACACCAAAAATTAATCAATCAATCAATTCGTTTATTTTAACACAAGCATGTCTGGGATGTTATAAAAATGAAAAACTTAGATGGGTGTAACACCTATGTTAAGATCAAGAGAGATAAGATAGAGTTGTTACACATGAAAAGAGAAAAGAAGAATTATCTCAGATTTGAGAGGAGACCATGACAGAGTATCGGTATTTGAGTTGGCCTTTCCTGGTCGATGTTTGACGACCATGTCATAGGCATCAAGTTTCATGGCCCATCTGGCTAGACTGCTGGTTGGATCTTTTATATTTTTCAACCAAGCCAAGGACCGCTGGTCGAATATTTTCTTTCACAAGGCTGCAGGGTCCTGTTATGACATGTTCAATGCGTTCGATATTTTGAGCAAGAACGGCACCGAATCCGTAGCCACATGCATCCAATTGAAGCATAAATGGATGATTAAAATTCGGATATGTGACAATTGGTGTGGAAATAAGGCGTTCGTTTAATAGTTCAAAGGCTCGCTGTCGATCAAGAGTGAATACAAAAACATAATCCTGTTTCCTCGGTGCCGTTCTTGCCCAAAATATCGAACGCATTGAACATGTGTTCATGTTTGTAGGTTCCATTTTGAAAAATCCAAAAATACATTTAGCATTTATAAACAATGCCTCAGGGCAGTGACAGAATTCGACCACAAGAGCAGATGCAAGCAGTTTAATCCCCAAGCAATTTGCTTCTTCACTTCCACTTACGGGTATTGGTTTCCTTCTTAGCTAAAGTTGAGCGAGAGTGTTGTTTACTTTCCATGTTTTTACTAGTGATCCTCTTCCTCTTTCGGATATCTGATTGTTGCTCCAATAACTTCATCATGTCCTAAGTGTCCCAACTCCTACTGAACAATTCCATCAACGTCGACCACAATCACACACAAAGAAAGAGAAAAACTTCAAACAAAACCAAATTAACGCCACCTACAAATCATTGCACAAAACGACTACTCCATCGTCTTGCAACTTTCCAATACTTTCTTTCACGAATATTAGGTTAATTCAAAGATTGAGTTGAGTGAGAATGTTGTTTACTTCCAGTACTTCCGCTAGTGCTTCACCTCCTCTATCCGATATTTGATTGCCTCAAAAATCGAGCTGAGTGAGAGTATTATTTCCTTTCAGTGCTCGTGCTAGTGCTTCACGTCCAATATCGGATATATAGTTGTCCGCAAGATGAAGTTGAACGAGAGTGTTGTTTACTTTCAGTGCTTCACCTCCTCTCTCGGATATGTAGTTATCTGTAAGATAAAGTTGAGTGAGAATGTGATTTACTTTCAGTGCTTTTGCTAGTGCTTCGCCTCTTCTCTCGGATATTTGGTTGCTGCTAAGATCAAGTTTAGTGAGAGTGTTGTTTACTTTCAGTGCTTCTGCTATTGCTTCAACTTCTCTATCGGACATTCGGTTGATGCTAAGACCAAGTTGAGTAAGAGCGTTGTTTACTTTCAGTGCTTCTGCTTCACCGTCTCTATCGCATATTTGGTTCCTTCCAAGATGAAGTTGAGTGAGAGAGTGTTATTTATTTTTAGTACCTCTGCTAGTGCTCCACCTCCTCTCACGCACAGTGGGTATTTAGGCAGCTTTGACGAGAAGATGTCGGAATATTGGAAGAGAAGTTGCCGCAACTGGTTTTCTTGGTCGGAGAAAAGCCCACAGGAAGCTAAATCAAGTTTAGTAGCCAATCACCAGGTATATCTGTAGAATCACTGAACGACTCGAATTGCTTCTCGGCCGTTTGTGAATAAAATTGAGGGTCGGCTGACGCAATACGCACAAGATCGGTTTTCTCAGCTAAAGAACGAACTACGATGGCAGTCAAAGGGTCAAAATGACAAAGGGCCTCTCAACTGTACTTTGATTATTAGCAAAAAGCGATAAAGACGAACCAAAATCTCCTTCTCCAACATCAGCATCTTTTCGAATCTTGATTTTCTCATCTTCGATCCGAATATTTTTTTGTCTATTAGACGTTGTTCAAAAGTTGGTGAATAAGTTATGACATCATCTGAATAGACCATGGAGCAGCTCCACTTCAGGCCTCGTAGAACAAGGTCCATGAGACGCTGGAAGGTAGCCGGTGCATTAGTCAGCCCAAATGGCATGACTTTAAATTGAAAAATGCCTTCATGGGTGACAAAAGCAGTCTTTTCCTTCCTACCTTCGTCCAATTCAACCTGCCAACAGACTTTCGTCCTTCATGGTATTATTCAAAAGGATGGAAAATTGTTTATGATTTGTGTGTATTGTCATGCTTTATAAAACCAAAAGAAGCCTTGTTTTACTTAACAGTAAAAAAATAGACTCTTTTCCTCTCGATATGTGAAAACATACACATCTACTCAGCTGTTTCTATACATCATGTTCGAAAAACAACGTGGATAGAGACCCGAAAAAATATAATAAGATATATACTGATATTATCGGAACTGTCATTAGTGCGATGGTTTTCATCAAGCTTCATGGCTTTTTTAAAAAGCCAATATACCTCCCCGCTCATGTACGGGAAACTAGACATTTTAACGATCTGTTTAAATCGATACTAGAGCATACTATTGAATCAGTGACACCCAGATCAGTAGTATAGGCATGTACAAATGGATTTTTAGCATGAACATCTCTTTAGATAATGAATAATTTAATTTTTCCATCATAACCATCACCATCATTTTGACTAAAAAGCAAGAAGGAAATGAACGTTTTTTTCTCCTTCTTCTTCTTCTTTTTCATCATCCCTGGACAATGGTCTCAACACAGTCACACACAAGCATAATTATGGTTGATTTTTCTTCTTCTTGTAAAAAACAATCCATTATTTGTTCGTCTTGTCATTTTTTAACACATATCTAACAAAGAAACTAGAAAAAAATTCGTTTTTGTATGTGTCTCGACCCAGCAAGATTTACATATACGTGGTTGATGTATAGAACACCCCCAAATTGCCTGAGATCATCCCAGATCGATAGAGCGCGCCAAATAACCCTACACCAACATCCACTTGAATCTAAACCTGAGGTACCCGAAATGGAATACTACTATCAACGCCCACAAATAGCCACCAACATCCAGATGGACGAGTATTTGCACCCGCTGATCCTTTCCACAGTATTTAAATCGCCGAGTTACTTATAGAATGGTACGTACATCACATATGTAGAACCTACACCGTTCATCACGCACTTCATCCGAGGAACATCTCTTAAAGGGGTAAATTAAACTTTTTTATTGATATCCACCTCCGGATACATCTATCCTAGTGAATGTACTAGAGAGCGGGTAGTTCCTTACTTGCAAATTTCTGTGGGTACTTCACAAGTAGTTGACGTGCATTATAGGAACTTCGCAAGTATTTTCCAAAAATACTACTTGATAAGTGGTTGAGCTAAACTAGAATAGTTTCGAACTTGACAAACTATCACATCTTGTAGTGCAAACAATTTTCTACAAACTAGTATACTTGTTCAATTTTTGCCGGCTCGACTTCACTCTTTTAGACACGCTTTTCAGAAAACAGGGTCTTTGCAACAGTAAGGGCAGCTCTCATATTCATATTCGGAATCAGCATCATCGATAACCTATAACCCACTAGGTTTCGTTGAAAAAGCGAGAGGGCACTTAAAAACGTTCCCTCGTCAGAAACATCTTTACTTTTGTTTCGTTGTCTTGCGAGTTGTTTCAAATATTCTTAAGTTGACAAAACAAACATTTACTGGAAATACAACTGAACAAACATTGAACATTTTCTTTTTTTAATTCTTTTCCTCAACTTACTAGCAGAAAAATATTTGTATAACTGTAGTACTGCTAATACTATACGTTCATACTTTTACCTTGAACTATATACTATTTTTTAGTCTTTAAGATAATGCTAATTACTCTCAAACTTTAAACCGCTATTAGCTGACAAAGACATTGAATTTAAGATAATCTTCAATTAGTTTTTGATAAGCGAAGATGAGAAATAAAAGATTTTCATTTTCACTCAACCGATGGTTTTCAAGAACAGAAGCTTTTCCCGTTAAAGTAGAGATGAAATAGTTAGTTTTGCTTCTTAATCTGAAAATTGAATTAAGGTGTTTTATAAAATCATAAATTGTCGATAAATCATGTTGCAGATGAAGCATCCGAACTAAATAAGTTTTCTCATTCTAAATACCATTGAGATAATATCCAGTATACTGTTTACTCACATTAATATAGTTTTCAATGTAGATTCCAATTGAAAAGTTTTCCTTCTATTCCTATATATCCAACTGAGGTCCATGCATTCACTGCCGTCACGATTGTCATAGGTGATAGTCCAACACATTCGTTAAATTCTATTAATGTCACGTGTAGTCACACTATATAGATATTAAATATTTGTTGTCTTACTGTCATAGAATAGAGACAGTCATCGTCTTGATGGCACATGCTTTCTGTCTTCTTCTCAAGTGATACTGCAGGTAATACTAATGACACAAATGAATATCAAAAGTGGTTGAATACTTGAATTTAATTGGCAATTTTTATTCTCAGCGTGAGAGAGAGATACGTAAACGTTCGAAAATGCATATACACACACACATTTATAGTGTATAGCAAGATCGGTATACTCAAGGGCTAAAAGTCAATATCATTTTTTTCTTACCACACGCGAGATATACTCTATGATGTGTATTTAATTTAATAGATCGAGAGGAAAAGAGTCTATTTTTTTACTGTTAAGTAAAACAAGACTTCTTTTGGTTTTATAAAGCATGACAATACACACAAATCATAAACAATTTTCCATCCTTTTGGATAATACGATGAAGGACGAAAGTCTGTTGTGTGCTTTTTAAGAAGAAGATAGTAATGAAATGAAGATAAGAAATCAGAATGGTAAACAACAATATGAATGTTCTTGTTTTCCAATATAGTCTGTCGAATTAAAACATAATGTGATGTGATAAAACAAAAACTTTAACGTTTTCCTTATTACATTACTGACTTTCTATAGAATATAATATTATAATTTTGACTGTTTATAGTATCGAATAAGTACTATCAGAAAACCAAAGATCAAAAACACTTCTGTCCATTAGACAAGACAGTAAAACAAATTGAATAGTAGAATATCGATTTGTTTTTAATAGTTTATTAGTGATTTGGATTGCTGTCTAAAGTCAAATAAATTCTAAGTGTACTCTACGCCTTAATTTTCATATATTTAAATTTAAAAAGTGTGTCTATAAAAAATTTTGTTCAACAGGTAAAGAAAAGAGAGAAGAAAAGTGTATCATCAAGTTTTTTGAAGAACAAAACCAAAGAAATGCTTGATTCTACTATTATATTTTTTATTAAATTCATTTTTCTTCTTTTAGTTAATAAATAATTTTTTCTTTGTTAATTGTGATTTTTTATGAGTGACTTTTTTTTCTTCTTCTGCCACTAACCCATTTACGTAACTATATTTGTTGAATATTTAATGTCAATAAGTCTTACTTTCTATCTTACTCTCTTTCTTTCTAAAAAAAAATTTTTTTTCTGTACATCTCGAATTTGCCACTCTCATGTCATCATCTCCCATTTGTAGAAGTTATTTCTATTTTAATGATGTT